ATATATATATACACACAGAAGTCTTTGTAGATATAAACACATACACACATGCATTTTCATTTAGCATGTACATAGACATGAATGCACCCATCTTGCTATCTGGATGCCCCTGAAGACAGAAAGACAGGTAGACAGACATACAGAAAGACAGACAAACAGATATACAGATAGGCAGGCAGACAGACATACAGTCAGACAGACAGACAGATAGACGGACAGACAATCAGACAGACACACGGGCAGGCAGACAGACAGACAGTCAGACAGACGGACAAACAGATAGACAGACAGACATTCAGACAGACAGTCAGATAGACAGATAGACATACAGACAGGTAGTTGCAAACACACACATTCAACAACCTTAAGGTAAAAACAAATACAACATTATATTATCATCGACAGGAAGAATAAAATGAAGATTATTATAGTGCAACAAAACAAAAACTGTACCGTCATCCTCTTTGCATTTTCCGTTATACTGCACATTGAAAGGCTTGTCGGCTACACAGGCAATCCTTTCCAATTCACACAAGTTGTCGAAAGTTTCCAGCATGCCATTGTCGATGCTTCCACACACTGGATCGTATGTGTTACCCTCACAGAAATCTTCCTCTGGACATTGGTCTTCTGGAAAAGTAAACAACGTTTGCAGTTTTGATCAGCAAGGGTCTTGAAATAAATGTTTAAAAACCCCCAATAAATATACGTAATAATATTTAGAGTTATTGAGGAAAAACAAAATCGCGAACAATTTTATTGACTGACTTGGCTATCTTTGATTGGGTCTCCTAAAAATGCCTGTAGTATTGTCGTCAGAAACAAAGAATGATGAGACAAATCAACGTAGGTCCCTACAGTGGAAACCAAGTATCCGAACTTTGAAGAAACTGTAAGTCACTGTGAAAAAGTTGATGTGTAAACAGTAACACAGTGCGCTGTTTTCAAAGTGGTAAGGTGCGATTTGCGTCCCACAGCCAATCCAGCTTCAATTTTAATTAATTAAGAACTCGTGGTAAATGTTTCTGCTCTCAATGATTGTTGACTCAATGTGACACGTTATACTGTGGTGTGACCGCCAGGTTTGACACACTGCGCGCGCACACACACACACACACACACACACACACACACACACACACACACACACACACACGCATTATACATATATGTACAAACTGTCAACACATTCACACGGGGTGTGTATCGGTATATTGACCGTCAGCTTGACATAGCCATCCAGTCACAAAGTCCAGGCACTTCCATTCCCCCATACAACAGGAAGTTTCAAAATTCGGCCTTAAGGGGCCCATACGCGTTTTTTAAAAAAGCGTCAAAATTTGCGTCAACAAAATTTTGATATAGGGCATTTTGATGTCAAAAAAAGATTTGACTCAAAATTTCGAAGAATCAAACCGGTGTGATATTTTTTTGACGAGTCGTTAAATTTTAGATGGGTGTGTGGGCTCCTTTTAAAATTAATTTGATCAAACTTTTACATTTCGTAGGTGACAGGATCGCCATGTCCGATTCATCCATGTCGAAGATTTCGACAAAACTGAATTTTGATGTAAAAACCCCCCCCAAAAAAACAAACAACACTGAAACGTGTGTGGGCAATTAAGCGCTTCAAAATTTTGTTTCAAAATTTCGCATTTTGGTGCAATATTTTGACGTTGTTGCTTTTTAACCTGTATGGGCCCCTTAATACTGAAATTACTTCGACAAGTTAACACGAAGTACACAGTCACCTGAGCGCCGAAGAGTTATGACAAATTGTACGCCATGATGAAAAAATAAACCCAACAAAATAAAAACATTATAACATCATCATCATCATCATAGTAAACAGGAGGGTGTAAAAAAAGGGTTGAGACTTGTTGAATTTCATCATCATCATCATCATCATCATCATCATCATCATCATCATCATCATCATCAGGGGCGAAGGCTGACTTGTTTGACAGGGTAATCAAAGTGAAATGGGACCAGATAGGGCCTGGAGATATCACACTCACACAAGTCACAAGAATCTTACTGGCACTGAAGGTGGTAACTCTGAGTTGTGAATGAAAACAAATCATGAATTCATGTTGTATGCTTGTTCAACCGCTAAAATGATCGGGAAAGTATTTCATTAAATATTTATTCTAACTAACTTTAAATTTAACTTTAGATTTGAACACACGAACACCAAGGAAAGAAGCAGAGATGTCAGCACTACAATGGCATGTTATACCAGACAGCCGAAACACTTTGGTAGAGCATGCCAATTATTTGGCTGTTTTTTGTCTAGCTTTTCGCGGCCAGGAGCCGGTGTCATAATCGAGGTCACGATCTGATTATAGGACGTTAAAAAGTCGAGGAAAAAACCAAGCACGAGCAGTTTAGTAGCTGGAGTCAAAGGATTATTAGGAATAACTTCCCCTCACATCTGTGAGGTAGACTCGACCAGTGTAATAGTTCGCTTATATAATCAGCGCGCCTGGGTGCTTATAACTGTGGCCTGAAAGGGGTGAACAGGGTATATGCGACAATGAAACAGTTCTGACTGCTATGCACATGTTCCCTTCAAGTCTATTGGTTGACTCTTCCAGCCTCACTTTAAGCTTACTTAGTCAAAGCTTGTGACTGCTTATGGAGTGGCCCGATAGGGGCGAACAGGCTATTTCTGTGGCAATGAAACGGTTTTGAAGGTTAGGCATAGTCTATTGTTCATTGTTGATTATGAACGTCTTTTTACACTTAATTTATGAGGTTTACGTCCATGGGTGAATTTGACTGCGACAATGTTTCAAAATTAGGAAGGGAAGCAGTGATTATTTGATTATATAGACGCTTCGCCTCTGAACATCATCATCATCATCATCATCATCATCATCATCATCACAGACTAAACAATTTTTGTTTTATCTTGTTTTGTTTCTCTTGCATCATATCAACACTTTTTGACGTTACCTACAAATATTGGCACCAAAATCAGAACACGGGACAACAAAAAGAAAAAACCAAACCAACAAAAAAAACCCCAACAAACTAAAACACCTCAAACAAAAAAAACAACCCCACCAACCAAATAACAAATACAAAACAAAAAAAAACAACAAAAAAAACACACAAAAAACACAGAAAAACTAAACAAACACAAATACAACTCTACAATCACTCACGAGGTTCTGGGTCATCACATTTTTCAAAGCATGAAGCTTCCTGGCGAATTTCGTAATTGAATGGATCTCTGGTCTCCTGTCCATCTGTTCTTTCTTTCACAGATCTGGTTCTGACCTTTACACCTGGTCCACAGCCTTTCTCGGCGTCCCTGAACTTGCAATCTCCAAACGGTCTCCATGGGTTGAACTCAGGATCGAGAGCTGAGAAACGAGAAGGAGGAGAGTGGGGTCATTATTTGTACGTGTAGTCGTCTGTCTTTGTACTCTGTGTGTGTGCGTGTGTGTGTGTGTGTGTGTGTGTGTGTGTGTGTGTGTGTGTGTGTGTGTGTGTGTGTGTGTGTGTGTATTTTGTTGGGGGGTGGCTGGGTTTTTTTATTGTTGTGGGTTTTTTGGTTGTTGGGGTCGGGGGTTTGGCTGCTTTTTTTTGTTGTTGTGGTTTTTTGGTTGTTGGGGGGGGGTCGAGGGAGGGCTAGGGGGGTATTAACAGCTCACCTTTGCACGGGTAGACTGAGAATGAGGCAGACAGGTTTCAGGTTCCTTGATAAAAATACGCCACGGCAACTACAATGTGTTCAGTTACCCTTTTCTAAAGACCTTGGAACAAAGAGAATTAATTATAACAGGTAGAGACGTTAAGGGAAAGGTGAACCAGTGCACACGTGCGTAAATTCCGCACATTATCTTTTTCTCAGTGAGAATTTTTGGTTCTGTTGTTTTGTTGTTGTTTTGTTTTACTGGTTTGTTTGTTTTTTCGGTTGGTTTCTATTTTTTGGCTTTTTGTTGTTGTTTTTTGGTGTGTTTTTGTTTTGTTTGTTTGTTTGTTTGTTTTTTGGGTTTTTTTAGCGGGGGTTGTTTGTTTTTTTGTTGGACCAAACGAAGTTTGTTAGGAGGCTTTAGAACGGAAGAGGTTGCTTTATATTTGAAATGCTTCTTCTTCTGTTTCAAGCGCGATATCTAAAACAGACATCAGTTATCACGGTACGCTACTTACTATTCTCAGCTCGATTGCTATCACAGAAACCATATCAACCTGATCGTCTCCCGTCATCCGTCTGTTCGTGTTCTCAAGTTCTGTTAAATATGTATATTTATTCTTGATCTACCTCTTCCTCTCTTGCCTGTTATTGTTTTCAGTGAGCGTGAGATGTTCAAGAAATGTTTCACAAAATGTTGATAGATTTTTACAGCCGTAGGAGACACATGTAGGTCTTTGAAGGTCTTGCAGATGATTGGACTATGGAACATTCTTGGGAAATATTGTGTCGTTGTGGACCTTTGTATAGGGTCAGCGCATCTATCAACACTGTCAGGCTACATAACGGTCAGGACCTCCTGTTCTGACATCATCCCCTATTGCACGGAACCAAATTGGTGGAAAGGTGTTGTTTGTTTGTTTTTTTAACTCCCCAAAGCAACCCAAATTCAGAACAACTCGTTTGGGATTCGAACAAGGGCTATTAGCTTCGTAGCCATGCGTGATACTAACTGAGCTAACAGCAAGCTTTATGTCTTGTTTGAAGGAGGACGAAAGATTGTCAACACACAAAAGTAGTAAAAGGATCTTTAGTTTTAGTTTTAGTAAGTGTTTTACGGCATTTGCAACACAATAAGGTCAAATAATTTATGTGCCGAAGATTAGAGGTGTTACAAGAGAGGAACAAACTCAAAAAAGAAGGGGAGATAAAGGCGATAGACGTTTGATAGGAAAGAAAAAGCAAACGACACCAGAGCACTCGCTAACCACCCACTGTACAAAAATCTGAAGGAGTTCAGGTTGAAATAACTTACTCGCGTTAAGCCAGTAATTCGGAAACGTGTGGTTAAGAAGCTGGGCTTTCTTTAAGATTAAGAACAGAAACAGGAAACTAGAGGAAATAACGCATTTCTCCAAGCTATTTAGCAAACCTAATTAAGTAAATATGTGTGGGGCAGCGTGGTGGAATCAGGCTCTCGTCAAAATAATCAAAGTGAAGAAACTTGCACTTTTCCGCAGGTTTATGAATTTTTACCAAATTTTTGTTTTTTGGTTCAACACCTTTCATGCCCATTAAGAACTCATTTCTGTGTGGATTTTTCCTAAAAACGTTGATTAAAGGCACAAAAAGTACATTTTCAGTTACCATGGACTCTTAAGCTAAGGAAAAAACTAATCTTCGGCGGCCATTTTTTCATCAATTTTACCTCTGAAAACAGGTGACCCCCCACCTCCTTCATTCGCAAATATCTCGACTTATATTCAAGATTAATGTATATG